GTGGGTAACGGTTGTTCTCCTCACCGGAGACCATATATCGCTCATCTGCGCTAGTTGGGGGACACCGACATCTCCGCCCAGTCCCTCTTAGGGATAATGTTATGACCGAGTCCTGGTCTCACCATTTACCTACTGGCATGAATGGCTCCGAAGATACTTGAAAGTGCCACCTAGAATTGGTTCATAGACCATTAAGTTAAAGTTTACTCCACTCTCGATAGTCGCTAACCAATGGATTCAGACAACTAAGTTACGCCTCTACATCAGCCACCGTTTTCATGCAAATGTTTCTTTTGTTGCGTTTATTGCATTCGACCGTGGTTCCTTTAGTCGACTATGATCGAGGACGTGGCTGAAGAAGTTTGATACCATAAATTTGCCACGGTAAGTAGATTAGGTGTTGTTTACGTTGCGTAACAAGCGACTCAACTCGCGCCGTTTATGTTCATCACAATTGCATGTAAAATCAAAGATACCTCCACCTCAGGAAAACTCTACGTCTTTTTGGGACTTTTCACCATTGCTCATTTCTGATGTCCTTTATTGAGCTAGCACCTTGTGAGTCAATGATTAACAACACTCTCACGAGGTAGCAGCCGTTGGTATGAACAATTAACTGATTGTGGTGTAACACTGCTCCCCCTCAACTGGCTTACATCTCATAGTTGTGCATGGTACAGGGTAGCTCCTTCTGAGAGCATTGTAGAAGAATCACCCCAAAGATCAAGCGCATTAACTGCATTTGATTAAAAGGCATCAGCAGTACGCCGGTGCACAGTACTGATGCTTCGTTGGCGCGCAACGTCCAATCGTCGCACGTGGGCTAAGGATACTGCGAGGATCGCCTGGTTCTTACGTGGGTACGAACCCGCTCCCTCGGATTCCAAGGCAGACCTGTGATCCTTTACGCTACGGGCCGGCATGTATCCGATTACAGAACGGATGGACTAATGTTAGGGTTTGCAAGAGCCCAACGCGTTCTTCGATTAAGTAACATCGCATATTATTTTTGTCACCTACTTGCTCAATACCATGGCATCCTCCATGCACACGGACTAAATCAGATCGACGGTATTTATGTTACCTTCGTGTTTTCTTGTGGCCCTATTCCCCGATCACTATGGGCGTGGCCAAACCGGACAATGCACCCAACTCAGCTTGGAATGAGCAGTCACAAGTCATCATCATCATTGCACACATTAGCTGCAGGTGGAAAACACCTCAGCGTTTGTGCCACAATGCAAAAGAAAGAAAAATACATGCAACAGAGGCACGCCGGCTGTCACCAGTAACGGATGGACATCGTCCCGGTGAGCTAACAGCCTGGCTGTTGTGTCGCAAGAAGAGTTATATTATGCCTAATAATTGAGATCGTAATTTGTGGGGGAGGGACAAGAAAACAACATAGACGCCACTGTAGTAGGCTCCTAGTCATGTCAACAAGTGTATCCAGCCAAACGTGTTCATTCTCCTTCGGCCCCCAACTAGGGAGCTGAGAGGATCCAACCGAGGCCAACTTCGAAGTAAGGGCCTTCATTCCCCCCCCCCCCGGCCAAATTATCGCTTGGCCGCCTCTTCTAGCTGCACCCCTGGAATGCGAACAACGCACGTCGCGGGAGTCGGGGGGCTGGAATGCACAACACGTGGCCCAGCCATCAAAGCCTGTTGCGTGAAATAACGGTGCTGAGCGGTTCGCTTCTTCTTTCTGCACCATAAACAAGACGTCGAACACGGTCATTGCTCACACGGTGTTCCCACCAGATATGAGCCAAACTGCGATCATCATCATCAACAGCAGTACATCAGACATTTGAACTGATGCTTCGCTGTCATACAACCATGAGGACCTATGAAGTAAAAAATAATAAAGGAGAGAAGGGGAACTTACTTGAAAACCTTAATGCCTTAAGCAAACATTCAGGGTCAAGGCGCCTACGCCTTGTGTAGCCAACATACCGTCACAAACAGCTGGCTCTCGTGCAAAGATAAGGCGACATCGGTGAGACAGATTCCTTGCAGCTTTCACTGCCCCGCGTCATAATCAGCCATTACCCTACAGATAACTCTGCACCAAACACACTTTAAACAGGCAAGCCGATTAGGAGACGGCAGCAGGCGCGCCACTGGTGTCGATTGTGAGCCATGTCCTGTAAAGTCTCGAGCCAAGCACAAGGCGAGTCACGTGGTCCAGCCCGGAGTGCGAGACGGGCCAACGGCACCCAGTTTGGTCGTCAGTGACTTCATTTTCCGCTGCCAAGTCAACTTCTGTCCACCTCGAGCTTTGCGCCACCCTACCCCTGGCAGACTAAACAAGGTCCTCCTAGGTAAGCGGTGACCAGGCATACGTAGCACGTGTCCGAGCCAACGCAACTTATTCAGTACTATCTGTTGTTCCAGGGAGGTAGCATCATTATCACTACCTAGTACTCGCCTACGCACATAATCGTTACGGACATGCTGGTGCCATCCGGCACCAGTAATGCTTCGCAGACAACGATGATCAGACTTGAAGGCGCCTCAGATCTTTAGACCGAAGTGGCCAAATCCCACTACCATAGTGTAGAACAGCCCTCACTGTGGCCTTGCATACACGGCCTTTCAGACGGAGGGAAATTTCCTTCTGTCGCCAAAGACCGCAAGTTCACGAACGCGGCTCTGGCCTTTGCAATGCGTAACCTGACGTCAGTTTCTGTGCGTCCATCGTTACTGATGCAGCTGCCAAGATAAGTGAATTGAGTAACCACCTCGAGCTCCTCATTCGTAAAGATCAAGGGGTCATAAAGTGGCTAGTGGTCCCGCAGCAACACTGCACTTTGAAAGTGCGAAGTGCATACTAAATAATGGGACCCATCTAGGTAGGCTATTCAGGATTGATTGTGCCGCCGCAACATCGTCTAAAAGCAAGACAATATCGTCCGCATAATCAAGATCAACTATTCTTTCACCAGGCAGCACTTCGACGCCTACATCGTGAGATTCCGCAAGGAAACACTCCACGATGGAATCCACGAGGAAATTGGACAAGAATGGGGAAATCGGACTACCCTGACGAACGCCACTGATGGTCAGAAAGCTATCCTATAGGCCACCGTAGACCCTGACGCGGCCTGTAGTGTTCGAGTATAGAGCACGAAGGACGTTCACTTATTTCGTGAGAACACCATTCCACGCAAGTATTTCGAACAGAATGAACTGATCGACTGAATCAAACGCACTCTTGAGATCGAGGAACACAGCTATTGTCGGTCTGCGGTAGGCGTGGCGCTGCTCCAGCACCTGCCGCAGAGTGAATATATGGTCCATATAGCCACGTCCTGGGCGGAAACCTGTCCTTCCTTAATCCGAGATTCCCGTTCCACAATGAGGTGATGAACGAGAATCGAGGCCATTAATTTTGCCACAACTGGCGAAACTGCGAAGGCACCGGTGGTCGAACGTTAGTAGCCTCTTTATGTCAGCTGCTCTAATGGGTCAAATTTCACAACCGTACAGTAAGATCGAACGTACGGCTGCATTGTACACTACCCTTCGAGGAGAGAGTGCTGTCGCCTCGGCGCCATAGGTGGCGAAAGTTAGCAAAAGCGTCTCGTGCTTTTGCTATACGGTTCGTGACTTCGTCTTCAATTCCAGCGGCGCTAGTACAACTATCTAGGTTGCTGAACTTTTGAACGACTTCTAGCTGATCCTCACCAAGCGTCAGCGCAGCAGGCGGTCGCTGTCAGTCTTGGGAAAAAAAGCTTTGAACTTTGAGGGTGCAAAGCATGGCCCGAAACGGTTGGCAGTCAGTGCTAATCTGCCGGAGCAGTCACCAAGCTTGTGGGTAACTAAACGTAAGCGTTACGGGCTTGTCTGACAAACGGATAGAGTAGAGCATAACTGAATACAGGAAATAGAGAGCGAGATGAAAATCTGGGTTGCTCCATCGTAGGTGGACCGGGCACAGGTGCGGAATCACATCGCTGCTTCCTACACAATGGCAGCCTATTACAGCTGCACTACATCTTATCCGGGTGCGATACCCTCCCTATACTTGTAGTCCGCAAAGCGAGCGTCAAGGAAGCTCTTAAATTTCGACACCGATTTCGCCTTCACTAGCGTCTCCAACGACTTCCAGTGCTCGGAGCATAGTGGGTGATACGATTTATATCCGATACCACTAGTTTATACCGATGTCCGCATGTGCTGCCTGGTGCGCAACTATGCAGCAGCGGCCTCAACATAGGGAAGTGGCCCAGGTGCAGTATCCGGTGCGTCATAATGGGATCAACTCTAAGCCGACGATATAACAGGGCAAAAAGCTCAGGTCTCTTACATCGGTCCTCGTACAACATACCCCGTAAACTGGGGGGAGCCGGGTAGCTACATACTAGACCCGTTCCAATCTCTGCACCTCACCGATTGTGCATGGACAATAGGCGGGTGAGCCGTACTCAAGCACTGGTCTTATCCTGGAAGAGAGATGGCTAACAATCTCTTCAGACCAAGTGCAGAAGCTGCGTCTAGGTGCCCAAAACGGGCGTAGTCCGTTTGCGTACAGTCTGTTCGTGTTGTCTACAGATTTCAGATCACAATGTGAGAGTACGCCCAGATCTTTTACGGAACCGGTGAGATGCAAAGGGTGGCCGGTCTGGTTGTACGCACGCCCATTATCACTCCTTCACAGGCTCATAAACGAGGACTTGGTCAGGTCAACTTTGCAGACCAACGGGATAGGCGGTCGAAGTTCTGCTGAAGGACGTCACAGTTGTTGGGAGAATCAATAATCCTCCAAATCGTCTGCAAACTACACAAGGCGATCGAAGAAATTTAGGTACTTCGTTTATGTAGATCAGGAATAAAATGGGCCCAGCACTGTACCTTGGGGTACATCGCTAGTGGATAGGTACCAGTCTGTTAGCTGGTCATTCACATGTACCCGCCATCTCCCAATGAGGAAGTCACTGATCCACTGGTGCAGTGCGCCACCAACACCACACATCTTCAGCTTGTGGAGCAGGACCTCCTGATTCACTTTCTTAAATGCTTTACTGTGATCCACTGACGTTCCCCGGTTCAACGCTTGCAATCATTCCTGCCGCGTCAACAGCAGGTTGATACACGAGTGGCCCTTCATGAAGCTATGCCATGCCGGCGATAGATCTTTAGACTCCAGCAGCTGAAGCAGATCCTATTTCACAATCTTTTCGAGCAACTTCCCCAAAACAGAAATGAGGTAAATCGGCCGGTAATTGTCCATATTGCGTAGGTCACCGCCTTCTAGAATCGGCTTCACTACCGGGCATTTCCAGTCGCTCGGCAGTGCACCTTCGGACAGCGATCTGTTGGACAGATCCGTCACTGCAGACGAGATGATGACCGATAAGAACTTTAACATTAACGGGTGAAGTCCAACGGGTCCGACAGGTTTCGTGCCGTCAAGACTGGTGAATAGACTGCGGACATCTTCACCGCAACCCAGGCCCTCGAGCTGAGTAGGAGCTGCAAACGTCAAGCTCGGCATAGGCGCATACCCACTTGTAAATACGGAAGCGAAGTGGTCCGCCAGTACGGACGCACGTTCAGTGCTGGAGGTCAGAGGTTGTCCGTCAATGCTCACTAACACAGCTACGTCACTTGTGGGCCTCAGGCGCCGCTTCATGCAAGTAAAAAGCTCATTGGGGGCCGTCTTCGCTGAGGTTGCAAGGTCCTCTTCGAACTGCCGACGTTTTTGCGTAGTTGCATAGATTTCCCTGCCTTTGTACGCCTCATAATCATCAGCAGAGCCAGACACAAAATTTATTCGATAATACGCGTCGCCGTCGAGCCAGTTGGCCATACCCTCTGTCAAACCAATGTGGCTTCACTGGTCAAGCTTTCCGATAATTGAGGGGTACGAAACAAGCACACAATTATTGCACACCCTCTTTTATAACAGACCATCTGGTTTTAACAGATGAATCCTGTGGTAGCGACCAGTCCACTTCACTGGCAGCTCGATTGAGACCATCGTCTCCGGAGGACGCGAGAGTGGCGGCGGCTGCTCTAGGCTGGCTAACACCATCGAGTGGTCACTAGCTGCCAGAAACTCCAGGACCTGAATTTTTATATACACGTTGCTCGCAACTCGTTAGTAGTGCGATGGAACGGAATGCACTGTAACGCGTGTCGGTTGGCAGACATGTGCTGCTTTAGTTTCAAATATCAACTCTGCAAACCGCCTCGATTTAACGGTGCCCGGGGAAAAGTTGGACCTCAAGCCACCGTTTTCGAGGGAAATTAGAATCGCCCATAAGCGGGAAGCGGAGCCGGCTCGTATAGTTTTTAACACGCAGCAACCAATTCAGGCATCTATCGTGGGCTACGATAAGTCAAGTCAAGTAAAAATAAGTTTTATGAACCCTAATGGGTTAAGCATTTACACCACTGCTGCGGACACCTGGATGATAATATCAATATAATGCTTGGAGAGAAAAATAGGAAAAGGGCAGAATTATTACTTCAACAACCGCTCGCGCAGCATGTCTGTGACTTTCTATGTCAACAAGCAAACGTGAGCTAAGGCAAAACAGTATTACGATACGATACCATAATGTGCGGGAGAACAAAATTCTGAATTTCGATCGAGTAGAAGAGAACGGGAGTTTTGGAAAATTCATTTTCAAATGGATGAAACTGGTTAGTTAGTATCTTAGCAGAAAAACCATTGCATGCATCAAAATGTCTAGAAATGATCAACTAAAAAAGCTCTAGGCAAGCCGCTGCATTTAGAAACGTGCTTTATGGATCGCACAAATAAGATGTAGTCTTTCTGAAGCAGTCCAGGGAAATGACAAGAGAGCAGTATAACCAATGGGGAATAATGCAAAAGGTCACAAACCTGAATATTAAAGTACTATGTACTGGAAGCACCTTAAGTTTGTGGGGATGAAAGGAAAGTTTTCTGAATTTTTGGAAAATTTTACAGACATGGATGGATTAAGAAAGATTCTGGGACAAAAAGACGCCGAGATACTTGAAGGTGGAAGAGCTGGGTATGGGATTTTCATTCATAGTAAGTGTGGGAGAGAAATCTATGAGGGACTGCAACTTATCGCCACGGAGAAAAAGTATTACATCACTGCCTTTAGAAGCGTTAAATGTAAGGGATCTAGATGAAAATCATTCCACCAGATCTTCCAACCCACGTTGAAGTGATGAGAAATCCTATAAACGTGATTTGTATGTTCAACATACAAGGAGAATAGAAAAGGTGATAGAATCGTTCCCTGCAGAACACTACAGTCGGCACGGAAGACAGCATTTCTTACCATTCAACTTGGTGAAGTGAGTGCGATCTGTAAAATAGTCACGTAACAGATTACATATACCAGGGTGAATTCCATTTTTGGTTTAAAGGCATTCGAATCATCCAGGAAGAGAAGTCGTATGGATTTACATATTTGATCTAACGCAGAGGCTATCGAATGAGCAAGATATGCCACTGCATTCAATGTGGAGCGCTGGGGTCTATACGCAAACTGGTAGATATCGTGTTCAGGAGTGGCTGAAAAAATCCGCGGAAATAACAGTTTCGAAAACTTGTAGGAGCACCTTTACATGCAGTTGGGTGATACTTTTGAGATCCATTTTTTGGTATTGGAGTTATACTGGCCGTTCTCCAAATGTCCGGTATCACACCCGTAGTGTGGTATTTGTTAAATAACTCTTAAAGGCAGTGTGAGAGATTCAGCACACTCCTTCGAAGCTAATGGTGAGAGAGCATCCGGACCACAAGCTTTGTTTACCTTTAATCTTTTGAGTTCTTTGTGAACGTTGCTTTGATTGAGGGTCGCGGCTAGACTTGACATACTGAAGGATGACAAGGAAGGTGAGCTTAATGATGCGGAACCAAACTCAGAATTCAGTTTCTCCACCTCCACTTCACCGCTCTGGCTTCAAACGCTGTTACCACAGAGCTGCGTCAGAAGCCTCCATAGACCGCGACAGTTGTGGTTGCCCAGAACTTCTTCGACCTATAACTGGTTCAGTCTTTTTATCTCGGATTTACTTGCTGTGGTTAGGCTTTTGACACGGGTAGCATTCTTGCACTTTTAAGCCCATTCTTTCATCTTTCGGAGTCGCTTTAGTAGTGGTGATGCAAATCTATCTACTCCTAGATAGAACATTTCAACAGAACAACACGTCAAACCCACAAACAGTTCGCCGTGTCAAGCAGATCGAGCGCCAAAACTGTTCGCGCAGGCCATCTTCGCTGTGGTAGGTGTGTACCAGCCTCCCACACAGCGAGGACCGAATGTATAACAGCACCTTTGATAATCTGTCGCACCGAAAGCACGAGTAGCTACTGGTCTGGACTTCCCGGCTAGTGACCTCAGAATTTAACCAGGTTTCGACCAGTCCTAGTACGTCCGGACGACGCAAGACAACGAAGTGAAACACAGCGTCGCATTTGTTCATTAAATTATAAACATTTGTGAAGGCTACGCGCAGGCCGCGGTAGGAACCGACAGACGCGCATGAAGCGTCACCGACCTGTTAAACCGCGTTCAGTGGACCCAGGGAACTACCCAAAAATCTGGAATGTGATTGGCTTCTCCACTATCATTCCGCCACTTCGACTCCACGATAGCAGACCTGTTTCACTGTCCGACGGATCAAAATCCGAACGAATATTGATCTTTAGACCTCAGCCTACCGAGGCGCGATAGTATCAGCGTCGGACTCGCTTCATCAACAAACATGCCTCGCAGAGGCTGGGACTTCCCCTCCTTTCTCTCTCCAAGTCGGGTGATTTGCTTCACCCACACTTCCTGTTCATTCACATCCAGAAGCCTATCAATCAGGCTCTGCAGAAAATCCACGTCGTTATCAAAACAAGCCTGAGGATTAGCATCCGTCGACTCAAACGCATGAAATATCATGAGGTTACAACGCCACTGATTGCTGGCAGTTATCCACTCCTTTTTGCTTCGCTACATTTTCCATTGGCCTTCATAACCTGTGCTATCGCACACCGGTATGCTAGTGTCCGTAGAACGCAACACAGGCACGCCAGCTGAGGCTTGTGCAAAGGGTGGAAAGCCTGCAGCCGACGGGCAGGTGGGCTCATTCGAATGTAGAGGCAGCTGGGTTTTCGCTTGCTTGGATGAACCGATGGAGCTCCTCCCTATGGAACGTTTCGCCTGTCTTTGTAGGCTCCAGCGGCTTCTTGGTTGTTTTTGATTGCACAGTGACTTGACATTTCTCGCACAATATTTGGACAAAATCATGCTGAATTTCACGCAGTAGTTTAAAATAATCTAAAAGCAAACCAACACACGAAATGTAGACATTCATACGACAGATAAGACGTGTAGCAGCATTGACTTTATGTCCAACTATTTTTCAACATATGACACAGGGAGTCTGCTTCGTCCTTACGGATTGCTTAGCAGATGTGACGGTAAAGGTGATAACTTGAACGATAAGTACACGATCCAAATACCACAGTAACATATTTGGACACGACATCAATTCATAAGAAACACGCAACATCTGCTCTGCACAAATTAATGAGCCATGCAAACTGGCCTGTCAAACAGGGCGGAAAAAGTCCTGCAGCTAGCGAGTAGAGATAAAAATTACAAGCTTCCATACTGCAAATTATTAAATAGTATATTTCTCGGCGGCGCATGATAGTTCAGCTAGGCGATCCGACCAATTTCTGTAGCTGGAGGGCATGATACATGTTCGTGCAGTTTTTTCGAGGCGGTTCCCAGACGATGTTTCAAAATGGCGGACCAGAAAGACGGAAAGGTCGGTAGTAAGAATAAGTATGTATATAGCTGAACATCCAATTAAAGTACTACAAACATCTGCGGAACTGTCTCATGTGGACCTACTATGCGGGGTGGTCCTTCAAAAGGTTTCATATGCACTTCCACGCTCCATCTGGCCGTTGGCCAGCACCACATTAACTCATGTTTAGTGCCACTATCTGCACATAGAATGTGAACACGCAAGTCATCCAACTTGTTCCACCATTGAACTCCGTTCTTCGACTCTAACTCCATGGTAATTCGCCTAGCATGCATGTACTGATTAGCTTGGAACCTTCAATCCATCACTTCTGATGTTCCTCTAACGTCGCCGTTCATCAATCCACCCGCTGTTTCGCTCCCAGAGATTGACACTACGGCCCAGTTCGTTATAATTTTATAGCACTTATCTTAGCACATTGTGCAGCATATCCGATTACCTTCCTGTGGGGACAAAAGCGATGGTTACTTCTAGAGCAGAACGCAAAAATCAACCAATCACCACAACTGCTGGCAAAGCGAAACCACTACTGGTACGCGATCAGACAGTTTATTTAGATAGCCTCTGTACAAGGTGTCTAAGCTACGGCTATGACGACACCAATACAGCAGGCTAGCTGTTCGAATCGGCAGTAATGCGAGTAAAGGTGAGGGCGATTCGAAGTCGAGAACGGCGCGAATATGTGCCGAAGTATTCAAACAACCGCATACAGGCGAACACAGACGGAGTACCTTAGATTGTCGGCCGGTGACCGAAAGGATTACACGCCTGACTTGCAATCCTTAGGTCACTGGTTCGAATCCGCGAGGGGGTGAGCGTTCTCGTGGTAAACTCAGCATGTGTGCGACCGCTGGTAGTCGCATGGCAGCGAAGCGTCGGTACGATGTGTCAGCGTACCGCTGATGACTTAGATTCCCTGGGTACATGGTAAAACTAAATATTTTGGTAGAATTTTACCATCGTGCTTCAGCTGAACAAGAGATTAGTCGGACCCCTACATTCTCCTTCGTCGCCATGTGATGAAATAGGGCAAAGAGAAAGTACACAATACCCGGCTGCAATCTTGTTCAATACACAGTTGGAATGGTAAGACAAAAGGTTTTCCAGCTTGCTGTTTATCAA